GGTTACACAAACCAAATTAGCCACATAAGGGAGCTACTTCTATGCTACACAAGCAAGAAGATAACTAGTGAGCTACACAAGCTAACTAATTATAAGAGCAACTACACAAGCACAATGTATATGAAAATAATTACAAGCTTGTGTGAGGGGATTGCAAACCAACAGGAAGAACAATATTGACACGGTGATTTTCTCTCGAGGTTCACGTGCTTGCCAACACGCTACATCCCCGTTGTATCGACCGCTCACTTGGTAGTTCGGTGGCTAATTGGCATCACCCGCCAAGCCCGCACGTCGGGCACCGCAAGAACCTACCCCGAAAGTGAGGGTAGCTCAATGACACGCTCAACTAAAGTTGCTCTTCGTGGCTCCCGCGGGGTGAGCACAATGCCCCTCACAAAGCTCTTCTTCGGAGCACCGCACAAGTTTTTTGCGTGCTTCGACGGAGGCCACCACCAAGCCATCTAGGAGGTGACAACCTCCAAGAGTAACAAGCACCACCTTCTTATAGGACGACCACCTAGTGCCACTCGATGCAACCTCACGATGCAATCGCACTAGAATCGCTCACTCATTCAATTGGATGAACACTATCAAGCTATAGTGAGTTAGATGGCTCCCAAGCACTACCACATAAGCCACCAAGGCTCTAGTGTGCTCAGCAAAACAGCCCAAGGCCAAGACCCCTTCTATTTATAGTCCCCATGAAAATAGAGCCGTTGTACCCCTTCACTGGGAACAGCTCGGGGTGATCGGACGCTCTAGCCAGATTGACCGAACGCACCCTGCTAGCGTTCGATCAATGGATGGCTGCCACGTCATCCCTGGCTTCAAATATTGAGCACCCGATCTCAATGGTTAAGTTGCGACCGAACACAGCACAGTGTATGACCGGATGCAGGACCCTAGCATCCGGGCACTTCTAGTAAGGTTCCACTCGCGACCGGACGCAGGACCCCAGCGTTCGGTCACTTCCAGTAAGGTTCCAGAGACACTCAACTGCGATCGGACATGTTCCGGTCGGTCACGATCGGACGTAACATCAGCGTCCGGTGCTTCTCCTCTTCTCTGCGTTGCCACATCAGCGGGACCAGACGCACCCACCGGTCCGGACGGAGACCCCAACGTCACTGCGCCATTAATCGACCGGTCATTGTCACTATGTGACCAGCGTCCGGTGCACTCTGTGAAACCCTATCTTTTACATATAGGCGCCGGTGGCACCGTCGGACTATCCGCACTCTACGGACGAACACTCCATCGGTGAAGTTTTGAACCCTTTTTCTTTACCGAGTTGATCCACATCAACTCCAACTTCTTCTCCTTTGTAAATGTGCCAACACCACTAAGTGTACATCACCATGTGTATGTGTGTTAGCTTTTCACAAACATTTTCAAAAGGATTAGCCACTCAACTTGCCACGCCACTCGATCCTAGTGACGATGCAAAGTTAGATCACTCGAGTGGCACTAGATGACCGATATGCAAACAAGTTTGCCCTAGGTTATACCTTTGCCTTGCGCATTCCATTCCATCTCCTCCAATGTCGATGCAACACATGCACCAACACGATCAACAATGATATGATCCACTTCATATTATCACGTGATCATATTGGTTCATCGATCTTGATTTCACTTGCTTTTCACCGTTGCTTTCGTCCATCGGCGCCAAGTCTTGCTCAAGCTTCACCGCCACGTGGTCCATCGCTCCAAAGCCTCTGACTTACCCTTCACGATTGCAACCAGTCCATCAAGCTAAGTCATGTCTTAATCTTCTCCACCTTGATGACATGACTCAATGTCTTGTCTCATGTGCAATAAGCTCCTTCATCATCACATGTGTGAGCTTTGCAACATCTCCGCGCCATTTTCAACTTCATGGCATATGTTGCTCACACATATATACCTATGGACTAATCACCTGTGTATCTCACATAAACATAATTAGTCCACCTAGGTTGTCACTCAATTACCAAAACTACACAAGGACCTTTCAATAACAAGGGTAAGTCATATGATAATATATATATATATATATATGATAAGTATTGATCAATAATAATGATAAATCACTCAGAGTACTCATTTCTATGGTATTAGCATGGTCAGGTAGAATATTAGAGGAATAATTTCTAAGTCATTCTTAATTACAAGTCAAAGCATACATTGATTAGTGCAATTATACCTAATAACCATTGCTAAGATCATCGTCATATCTACACATAAGGGATATTACTAAGGAAGATTAAGAACATAGCTTGCTCTTCCTTCATAACCGAACCCTACGTGCGCCTATATTCGGAGAGTGGACTACAAAGGACTCAATGGAAGTGTCACATCCACGATCTACCACATGACCCAGAATATAGGATGTATCCGTAGGTAAACAACGTATAAGCACCACACTTACACAATATTGACCACCCACCCATGGATCCTTAGAGTGAGCGCTATATGAACTTATGCATAAACATAATAATAATCTAACTATACTAAGCATATAATCAAAGTAGACCATGAACATTATAACAAAGAACATGAATAAGATGAATACTAATATTGTCATAACAATTGTAACTAGCATATAAAAGTAATTGAGATACAAAAGAGAGAGGGGTACAAAGATTATACCAAACCACGCTCTTGACAAGATCGGGAATCCAAGCGAAGCCTGCTTGCCTCGCTTTAGACCTAAGCCTAACTAGCTATGCCCTAGAATATGGTGGAGCTCTGAGGATGATTAGGGTTTCTGTCTTCTCAAATGACTTATGCCTTCTCAGGGGGGTAGGGGCTGATATATATAGGCTGGAGCATCCAACGTGACCCTTGGATCAAACTAACTTAAAGGACGTAGTAGATGCAACCTAGGAGGTGGTGGAGAACCGACATAACAACGAGGAGCTGACAAGTGGGCCCCAGGGGTTGAGCGGCTTATAGGTAGGGCCGGCCAGCCCCACCTGGTGGCATCTCGCCCTCCGCTTTGGTGTGGAGTCTCCCGAGTCTTCTGGTGTCCGTTTCGCTATGGATAAGCGTAATTAAATATGACATGTAGGTCCACCTTGACAGTTTTCTGGATAAACCTTGTAGAAAATATAGATTTACCAAAACTCATGGAATTTGTTAGTTTAAATCCCTAAACCTTCATTGATGATTATATTTATGCCCTTATACATGTTATATTGATGATTTATAATGGTTGTTAACTACCGTCAATAGGATGTAATGCTCGATTAGGATTGACGATTTCATCCAAGACATGCACAAGAAGCTTGGGAGTCAAACAGAGGGAGGATGAGGCAGGTTTGTTAGACGCAAGCCAACTTACATTCTAGGATGGCCACAAGCGATGCTCTAGCGTCTGGCTTGATGTTGATGGGATGACATTACTCTTCTAGAAGTTGATAATGAGTCCGATTGGCGCGATGAAGGTGGTGAGGATGATCTTGAGGCGGCGGGCCCAGGGTGCCTCGACCCACTATATGATGTGCATATCATATTTGATGTACTATATGATAGGCCATGACATGTCATCAATGAGGGGGGGATTAGGAGCTTGTTAGCATTTGCACCCATCACCATGTGGTAAGGAGATTGGTGACAAGGATGAAGAGGCAGGGTCCAAGAGGGCCTTGCCTACTGAGCCCATTATTGCAGAGGATATATGGTATAGGAATATGCCTTTAAGGAGCATGCCAATGCACTCTTGTTCTTCATAGCAACCTCATTAGCTTGTGTGCGAACCTTGCTTGACCTTCAACCTTTCGTTAACCACAAATGCAGAAACTTTGCCCCATAAGGGCACATGCCCTCAAGTGAATCACTATTGATTGCACATGGGGACATGTGTGCAGCAGGTCTCTCCTTATGCACACCATCCCCATGTGCATTCAAATTAATGGTGCATGTACATGGGGGCATATATCCTTATGAGCAAAAACAACGTTACCTTCTGGTTAGACAAAGAGGCATATTTCCTCCACACCTTCTAGTTAGCCAAAGCATAATATTGCACACATGCAACATGCTATGCACCATCGGAAGATCTAAATACCTCAAGACATGTATCAATCATTCATTACACATAAAATAGGGCATTTACCTCAACTTGATTTCTCAAGGCATCGTTGGTGAATCATCACACATATAGATCGAGTAGACTAAGGTATACCTCTACTTGATTATACTTCCTTCATTTCAAATTGTAAGACATTTTGTTTTTTTTCTAAATATTGCTTTTACTATGTTTTCTTTGCGAGACCCTGTGCACAGATGTAGATAATCATATACACGAGCGTACATTCACCCTTATTATGAACGCACGCACGTATGCACACTCTACTCCTATGAGCACCTTCGAAGAACTAAGTTGGAGCAACAAATCTCGAGATTGACGAAGTCTCTATGTATTTAAACATAGTGTATATGTTAACATTGCTTTTCCAAACATTTCTTAAAGCATCGTTGGTCACCACACGTTCTTTGCCAGAGAGGTTGTGTTTGGACAATACAACAATTAGTGCATATTAGTTGTCTTTGCTCGTTTACATTTCAAGATCTTACACAACAATATGCACCTCTTGTACTGAATGAAATACGCACGCAAGACGACAGGATCAAGTGGTACCCTCTAGCCGTGAATCGATGACTCAAGTTTCTGAACAGTGCATCGATCGATCACGTATTCACAAGCTAGCTGTTGACACATTCATGCCCGTGATTGATTCCTCGTGCCAGAGAAGAGCCGTGTGCAGTACTTAAGCTAGGACGGAGCAGATAAAGAGAACATAACAGCAGCGCTGCAGCAGCTGCGAAATGAAAGAAGAGCTCGATAATCTCTTTACTATATAGTACAACAGATTTTCTTTTGCACTTGCAGCGGTCGGCCGGCCTATCGATCATATACGGTCTTTGTAGTATGTATATAAGATCGACCTGCCGGCCGGCCGGCTAGTAGTAGAGAGCTCGATCGATCCATTGTAGATGCCTGCATGGATCGGTCACATCGACCTGGCCGCCGTGGCCCCGTCGTGGTCGACGTCGGACACCGCGCCGTCATCGTCGTCGTCGAGTGCCCCGCCACACACGGAGCCAGCAGCGCCGGCGCCGCCGACGAAGCCGTGGCCATGGCCGAAGGCGCGGGCGTGGTCCTTGAGCGAGCGCTTGTGCTTGAACTCGGAGCCGCAGAGGCAGTACCAGAGCCTGCCGCAGTTCTTCTCGTGCGTGCGCCAGTCGCCCTTGACGGCGAAGGCCTTGCCGCAGCGGCGGCACAGGAAGGGCTTGAGCCCGTGCTTGCGCTTGTAGTGCGTCTGCAGCGTGCGGAAGTCCTTGAGCGGCTTGGCGCGCTGGTGGTCGATGTTGTTGCGGCACCCCGGCGAGCAGCAGTAGCACGGCAGCCGCAGCATGGCCGTCGGCTGGATGCCCCGCAGCGACTCCGGGCCCTTGCGGTACTGGGACCCGTGACCCCACATGTGCATCTGCATCCCATATCCATCCAGTTCAGGCCTTTTTTTTTTAATTCAGAGACTAAAGTTTAGATGCCTAATCAATCCACACTACTAGAAAACATCGCATCTCACGTCTATTTTTATCTTTATCGGTATTTTTATAGAAGTGTTCGAAGTCCTGGTTGTAATCAAAAAATAAATTACGAAGTCATCAGGACTTAGTCTGGTTATCTGGCAATTATTAGCGGAACTAAAATCAATCTATCAATTAGAATAAATCTTTACTCTCGGCTTGAGCACCACATTGTCAAATTATGATAAAATAATATAGTCACGTTAAACAAAAAAAAGCCGGTATTTGCGACCTCATAGCTAAGGTCCAAACCGCATTACACACACTATCTGAATAAACTTTCTGAAAGCACCCAAATATTTATTTAATTACCCTTTTTTTAGTTAACTATACTTTGAATTTTTACGGTCCATATTTAATATAATTTTTATCAGGGTTTCAAATGACATGTGTCAAACATCCGATAAAATAAGGACTAAACTTTAGGAGTAAAACTAGACAAGGCCTCAATCAATCACCCACGCAATACAACGGGCGTACAGACATATATATACACGTACTAGTACGTACGATCAAAAGCACAAAGAAACAGCGCGCATGAATACACGTACAATGTGCAGTATCCTAATGTCCGTACATGAGTATACTTGCTAGCTATAGCCTATAGCTACTGGGGCTTAGCGTACATGCTTCATAGCGTACATGATCATATGCTGCAATAAGCCTTTAACTTTCGAACTCACCGATTAATTATACAATGATTAAGTGTCTACATTTGGCATTAACGGTGAGTATTAGTTGCATTATGTTCAACATTTATAATAAAAACACAATAATAGTTTAGGGTCACATTTTTTTGTGTGCTGTTTATTACTTTTTCTAAAAAAAATTTTAGTATTATTAAATAATAAGAAAATTTAAATACAAAACTGATCTGCTTAAAAGTTACGGGGAAGAAAACCTTTTAGGATCAGTTTGGGATATATTCGTAATAAATCCTTTAAGCAAGCCCAGCCTGGTGAACAGGACTAAAGCATTCATGCATTAATATCAGGTAGGGCAGTGTTCATGTGATCATGCATTCATGCATGCATAAGAAGGTAACATTAATTATTACTACTGTTACTTACTACTACTACTACATTTGAGTTCAGTTCATAGATCTATCACTTTCTCGAAAAGGGTACAATTTTAGCCTAGTAACATATCAAACCGTATTGAGCTTAACCAAATTTATTCATAAAATAAATATCAGTTTTTATAATATCAAATAAGTAGTATTAGATTCATTAAAGATCGATACTCTTTTTTATAAACTTAGTTGAACTTTAGATAGTTTGACTGAAGATAAACTAGAATTATATGCCTTAGGTTGGGGTACTAGATTCATATATAGAGCTACCAGTGGTAGCAGTAACAATACTTTGCCATAAGGTTTGAAGGCGTTGTATATTTCGAGAGGCATATACACCTACTAGTATGCATTATGCATATGCATGCTCATCTCTTTGACATTTGTTGCTTATGATCAGAGAAGATTGGCTCCCGTAAACAGTGTTCTCCTACTATGCCACAGACTTCTTTTTTTACTTTCGCACCACCATGTCAGTGTGTGGTGAAACCGGATCAGAGGCCGCATGAGAGCAGAGGCCTCGCATGCAGTCGCAGCATGCAAGCTTTTGAAAGCGAGGGCTGTACGTCTAGCTAGCTTCCAGAGACTAGCTTGCAAAATAGAGTACGTACTACTGTATAGACCACCGCTCATGTGTTTGTGTTGTTTCTTTCGGAGGGAGGAGAGAGAGAGAGAGAGTGCGTGTGTGTGTGTTTGTACAATTGTGCCGTGTACGTGCGCGATTGCGTCCGTGCACAGTGAGCGTGGCAGGACGGCATAGCTAAGCTACAGCAACAACACTGCACAACTCTTGCAGTTCTCGGGAGGCGTGAAGGAGGCACAACAGCCAGCGATTCCCAAGTCAATGGTCAATCAGAGATAAGGTGAAGTTTGGTTGTCCCTCTTCGAAAAAATTTTTAGTAACATATGTTGTTTATTCCTAAAATAAAATGTTTTATAATACATCAAATAAGTAGTATTAGATTCATTAAAGATTGAAATATAAAGATTAATTAGTTTGAAACTAATTACATAGTTTTAGATTCATATTAGAGCTTTAGCAGTGAAACAAATCGTTTTTAACACCTACTATGCATTTATGTGCTCATGATTTGACAATTGCGTAAACAGTGTTCTCCTACTATGCCTGACTTTTTTTACTTTCACCGCTAATAATGAGAGCAGATTATGCATTCGCAGCATGCAAGCTTTTGAAAAAATTCTAGCTTGCAATAGAGTACGTACTACTGTATAGACCATCGCTCATGTGTTTGTATGTAATTTATTTTTTATTAGTATCCAGTGAGCGTGGCAGGACAGCTAAGCCTCAACAACACTGCACAATATTCTCGGAGGCGTGCCGCACCTCCGAATATAAATTTTAGTCACTAGATTCAAACACTCTCTAATATAGCTACAGCCAGAGGACCATATTCATTCTATTCATCTATTCTCGTCCTGTTCTTTTTGCATAGTGCCAAAATCTGAAATTTGGGATAACTAAACGTGGCCCTAGTTTCGCTTCTTATTTGATGTTATAATAAATGTCAATCTAAATGTCAGAAAAAAAATAGGCGATAATCCCAAGTCAATGGTCAATTAGAGATAATATAGCTACAGCCAGAGGACCATATTCAGTTGAACGGGAGCATAGTTCATAGGAGCATGTTCACATGGACATGATCAAAGATATACTAGATGAGTGGTAATGTTCTGGCCTTCTGGGAGATCAATCGATCATCAGGCCAGTGGTGTGGCGTAGTGGCTGTGTAGACAAAAGAAAGTATCGTCCATGGCTTACAAGCAGAGAGGCTCAGGCTGCCGCAGCGATGGATTTCCACAGATCGACCAGACACGCACGCACTGCCTGATGACCAATGCAAGCTGCATTCATGCATATGCAATATGCATGCTCATCGATCTCTTTCCATGGCCTGAGAGGCAGGCAGCACACCATGCATCTGAATCTGATGACCAAGCTACATCCATGCCATGCCATGCCCAAATGAAATTAGACCCAGAGACTGCAGAGAGAGATATGCAAGACGATGGAGAGAGACAGATCTTCTCATGGATCTCCACGCAGCGCCACTGGTCTGCTGGCTGCTGCGCGCGGCCTCCATCTCCCTGCATGCATGCATTCCCAAAGCAAAGACGAACTCCCGGATAAAAGCGAAGGCCTCCCGGAAAAGCTCAAAAGTGGCATGCATATATGCATGGCTTCTCCTGGCCTGGCCATGACTGGTCTTGTTCAATCACCCGAAAAGGCGGCAACTGCATGCGACCGGCCTGCTGGCCTTCTTTCTGAGCTTAATAGCCGGTCAGGGGGCGCCCGGCCGGCCAGAACAGACAGGAGCACGTGTATGTAATCTATCTGGCGAGCTACTACCTGATTATTACCCCCGGCTCTTTCACATGAGCACAGCTAGCTACCCAAAGGACAATGACCATTGGAGAAGAACTGTTTTCTGCTTCAGAATTGTGTACATTTCTCCAAACCGTGACCAAAACACCCTAATGTGCATCATCTATGCTACTTAATAAATCAACAAAAACAAATAAAGAAAGAGAGGAGATTTGCGTAGCCACGCCTTTGGAGGTTCTACACGTATAAATTTTGGTATGTTAGTTACCTACGACTACTGTGTCTATGTCTAGTATCGTACAATTGCAACAAAGATCAGATCATTGTTACATGAGCACGGATCTACATGGATAACATGTATTTTTTTCATCATATATCACTTGAGATTTGATATGTACTACCTACGACTATCACATAATTCCGAGATCAGATCGTAAATATCTACTTGGAAAACATATGTTTGCATTAACTGCAATAGTTTCAGAGTTTCATTGGTAGAGTGAATCTATAGCCTTATATATTCAATAGCATACGTTAAAGGGAATCGACAGTTAGAACATAACAGCAGATGACACAGATTGTTCCGCTCTGTCCCGACAAAAGAACCGTGGCTATTTACAGCAACAAGCTGTCTGTGTGGGTTCGTCGTCCGTTCGTGTTCGTTACATTTCGCATACAACAGGCCAAGCTTGGCGACTGTAGAAACTTTATTTAACCTAGCTAGCTACTGCCACATCATTCAATGTTAGGTAACTAGTTCCAATTATTGGGAGGGAGCTAGGGGATCGACATCTACGACGTTCCCTTGTGGGTTGCCCAAGAAGAAACTAGCAACCCCAAAATTATTTCGTTCGTCCTCATCAACAGACAAGAAAATAAAAGTCTCCGAGTAAATAAAGAAGACAATCAAACACAGCTAGGTTACTGATCAACAACGGAACGAGTTTAATGGTTCAAGAGAAATTTCAGTTTGGGAATCGTAATTGCCAGCCTTTTGACAAAACCACTTCGATTTGTTAGTTCAATTATTTCAATTGAAAAAATTGAGGAGAAATGCATGCATGGTGCAAGCGGCAAGAAGAAGAACGACAGTGAAATGAAATAATTAATAGATGTGACTGGATCGATCAGCTCACCTGCATGTTGTTGTATCGGTTGAAGGTCTTGAAGCAGACGGGGCAGGAGAACTGCGTGGGGCCGATGAGGATCTGCGACGGCGTCGGGATCCAGTACTGCCCCTTGTTGAGCCGCCCGATCGGTGTGGACGGGAACCCTAGCGGCGCCGCCACCGCGGTAGTCTCCTCCTCTTCTTCCTCCTCCTCGCCGCCACCGTTCTCCCTGCTGTCATCCTCCTCCTCGCCGCCGTCGTGGTTGTGCTGCTGCTGCCTGCGGGCGCCGGCGGAGAGGTTCGAGACCAGGTCGGCCGCGCCGGTGCTAGTAGGTGCCGGCGGCAGCGGCAGGCCGATGCGCAGCGCCACAGTCACGTCGCCCGCCGCGGAGCCTGGGCTGGCGCCGTCGGCAGCCTCCTCCACGTCCATCGGGTCACCCGCGGCCTTGGCGTTCAGGTCGGCGAAGAACCCTCCCTGTCCCAGGCGCTGCTGGTGGCCGTGGTTGCTGCTCGTGGTGGGGCCCTCCTCCTCTCCCTCGTCCCTGTCCTCTTCAGAATCTAACGCCGGTGCCCGGCGGCGTTGCTCCTCCTGTCGCGTGATACCGATACCGCGCGGGGCGGGGGCCAGAGAGAGCAGCGGCAGGGCTTCCCGGAGCGGGGGCGAGGGCGGGGCGGGCGCCGTCGGAGCAGATGGCTGCAGATGATGCGCAGCGAAGAAAGGCAGGGAGGGGTAGGCGGCGGCCGGCACTGGCGCCGGTGGCGCTGCGGGGTGGTAGTAGTAGCGGTGGTGCTGGGGATGGCTGTTGATGAAGCTCGTGTAGGCATTCTCCATGGCAGCAGCACCGGTCACCGGATCGGAGGTGGTAGTAGCTAGCTAGCTAGCTAGGAGTACCTTGCGGCGTGGCTTTGGTGCACTGTTATCTAGCTCCTGGCCGGGTTACAACTACAACTAGCTCCGGCTACACAGTGGTAGACACGCTTAAAGCTTGTGTTGTGTGGTGTTGTGTGCGGCGAGGTGGTTGGCGTTGGCGACCGGGTTATTATAGGGGTGGGTGCGGTGCGGGCACGTTTGGAGTATTCACAGTGGCGCTTCCGTCCAGCATGTCTAGTGCCTGCTGCTTGGCTGCTTTGTTGGGTTGGAAGAGGAGCTGTGAGGATGGTGCGACTGTGTTCTTGTGTTTCTTTGAGAGGAAAGCCGTCTGCTATTTTGATGGCGCTATCTACGTGCAGCATATATACAATTCATTCATTGTGCATTTGTGCCTGTGAAGAATGTTGCTGGGCTGTTTCTGGTCTAGTAGACAACTAAGAAAAGGTCAAAATTCCTTTTCAATTACAGAAGCTGCCTTTACTGCAGGACTTCTTCTCCCAGGCTCCTACAGGAATTTCGATGCTCGTCGTTAAATTCCTTCGAAGAGAATTGTCCTACGATTATTCATGTTTTCCAAAAACCGATGCAGGCTCCTTATACAATCACAGTAAGCGACGTTGTTTTGCACATCAAGACGGTTTCAGAAACATTTCAATAATAACCACTAGTTTTTGTTTCGGAGTATATATAACATGGCAAAAAGTATTATATTGTAATCAATATTTGGTTTGGCTGACTTCATATCTGAAATAGGGCCACCTTATTTGTGATTTGGAGTACACACTTAAGTGTCGAAGCTGCCATACATCAGACAACATATATTGAACATCTAGAGTCTAGACTTAAGAAACATCAAATTTCTTCTTTAACAGAAAGAGACTCCAAATTGGTGATCTGTAACCAAGATATTCATCCAGAAAGCAGCAGCGTGCAGTGGATGTAAAAGCTAGTACTAGCTAGGGCCCAAGGAAAACGCCACCGCCCTTTCTCCTAGTCCTCGCCGTCGCCGTGCCTCCACCGCCTAGGGCCCCTCCCCTTCATACTCTCCAGTGCGTCTCTGGGGATAGGAAGGAGAGAGGACTCATATCTCTTTTCCATTGTTTTTATATCAGTTTGTTTAGGGTTTAGCTTAAATAAATTTATGGTGAAATCAGACGATTTTTGGTCGGGGGTCTTGTTACTTGCGATGACTTCGGTGATTGCCATGACGATCGCCGTTGCAGGCATCGATTTCATCGGCAGCCAGCCAATTTGTGGCCATTATCTGCAAGGGGAGGTGTGCTCCTAGGCACTCCCAACGAGGACAGATACTCCGGGTCATCAATCTTGTCGTCGATGGTCGTGGATAGAAAGTCAAGGATTGGAGGTAATGAATTTGCATCCTATTTTGTATTCAATGATGCAACTGCCGATATTCTTTCATCAATGCAGATATGTTTTGGACTAGTTTCGGAACGTTAGATCTTGCGGCATGCCTGTTTCAGGATCGATCGTTGGATCCGGCATAAGAACTGCACTCTGGCTTCGGTGTTCAATAAGGTTGTGTTCATCTAGAGCATCGGCTGCATAACAGGCACTAGGGAAGAAGATGATGGGAGAATCTAGATATACTATTATGTATTATTTATTTTAGATTTTTTCATATGTAATTTGCTGATGTACTGTGTTGAGTTTAAATATAATTCCCCACTTCCCTTCGCAAAAAAAAAGAAAGATATTCATCCAAAAGTTCATATATATCCATAGAGCCAAAACTAGTTATTAACTTATTTCCCCTCTATTAAAGATTATTGGCGGGAATTGTCATTGTTTATTTTATTTTATTCTATTACAACTTTTTTTTTTGTTCTTGCATTGGATCCTTTTCATAACCTTTGTTTCACTTAAATGCAGCCTTTTGGGACATCATTACCCAGGAATTTCCTAGCGTGCAAACTTGCTGAACAAGGGTGATTGAATGGCCGTATTATGTGAGATATAGGCAATATAGTACTCTAAGAAACACGCAAGTTTTAAGGAAAATTAATTGAGTACCTATTTGAGATGAAAATTCGTCTCTGTGTCCAGGTACAATATGCGGTACACGGATACTCATGTAAGTCCTAATATTTCGTGAAGAAGCTGGTTTCTGTCTCTCTTTTTGGTGCAGAATGTTGGTGTAGTGGTCACTGTAGTCCTAATATTATCTGCAATATATGAGCGACAGGCAGGTATCTGCACAGTCGATCCATACACATCAGGAAGTTGTGCTACTTTGCGATCTCGTTTTCTCACAGGTCAGGGTCTCTACCAGTCACGGATTAATGGAGACGAGCCGACGATGCTATTTGCCGTGTTGTAATCAGGACACCGACACCTAAAGCGCTCCATCCAATGGCCAATACGGATGAAAATATTGCAGATAAGCTAGGAGCCAAGAGAAGCTTGCAATTCACACATGTGTATCTGTGGCCAACAGCTTGTACTATAGCCAGCGCTAATGATGATTGGACCTTGCTGGGCATATCGAATCCCTGTAGCGCTAGTTTTTATTTGTTTGTTTTTTTTACAAAATGTTTGCAGAGATTCGTGATGCGTGTTAGCTTTGTGTGTAAGAACTTCTAAGGTTTCGTAATCCGTGATAGCTTGGAGTATAATAGGCACCACCTCCGGATATTTGCCATGCGCATGCCGATATTTCTCGTAGTTGTTGTAAATTAATACGTCCAGATAAATGCCCATGTATTTTTGTTCATGTCTATGGCGATAGATTTGATCACGGCAAGCATCAGTAGTTAAATAGTCCTTGCAGTGCCTCAGCCATCTCCTTCATCTCGGCGGTGATGCTGATGTTGGATATATTATGGGTTTGACCCATATAATATTTAATAAATTAAATAAAACTCTATGGTCCGTACATTAACCGGTGTATGGTTTAATACCGTACGAGATTTTGACTAAATGTTGACTTAGATTATTTGGTTGGAAATTATCCATCTTAATTGAGAAGCTGATAAAAGGACATAGTAGTGCCACACGAGCGCGCCGCCGCCGCCGCCGGCCGGGCCGGGCTGTGGCAGGCAAGCAGGCGGCGAGCGAGCGGACGGGCGTGGCCAGGTTTTGCCACTTAATCCACATAATTACGGGAGTTTCTCTCTTTTATGGTGGAGGCGAGTTGATTGCGCCAGTTACCGTCTCCTGAGTTCCTCGGCTAGCTTTCTCCCTCCCCGCCGCAGGCATAAAAGTAGAAGTCATCCGTCAGTCTAATCTCTCTTTTCGCTTCCGAGAGACCACATCTCAGCCGCCTTTTGGTTTTTCCCGTCCCGTACCTCTGCGCGCACGGAGCAACGAGAGAGCAGGTGCTTCCGGAACCCTCGTCTGCCTGCGAACCTTGCACGGGGTGTGCGGCGATTAGGTTTTTGGAGAGTGATTCCGCGACTGCTCGTCCACGTAGTAGACGTCTTCTTTCTGGTGATCGCTCGCAGAACAACAAGGTGTCTTCTTCCTGGTGACCATTCGTGGGACTGCACTGCGAACACCTTCCTGCATCGACTGTGGTCCACGACTTCGAGCAACGCAGTATGTCTGGTGCGAATGGAGCCTCCAATGCCCTTGGCATGGGACCCTCCGCTGGGTACACTCTTAACTCTCTGATTACCGTACTTTACGTACTTACTGTATCGATCGGTATGTCATACTTACATACTGTAGCGTTTGTTAGTGATATACACATACACATATATGTCGTCACAAACCTGCTGATGTTTTATTTCTGGATTAAATTGACCATGAAAATGCCTAATTATCTAACAATCCAAAAACCTAATATTAGGCAATTTTCTGTCAGTGGTTTTGTTGCTGCTTTGAAGCCGAATATTTTTTATGGCAAGAATTTCATGATATGGCGTGCCAAGATGGTGTTGTGGTTGACTACTATGAGCTGCTATCACGCCGCACAGGGGAAGCCTAAACAATTTACTCCTGAGGAGGAGCAAAAGTTCTTGGCTGCCGATAACCTGTTTCGAGGCGCCATGATTAGTGCACTTCATAGTACGTATAAGAAAAACTACATATCTTGCACATCAGTCAAAGAATTATGGGATGCTCTTAAGGCAAAGTTTGAAGTTTCTGATGCTGGTAGTGAGTTGTACCTTATGGAGCAGCTGTATGACTACAAAATGGTTGAAAACCGTTCTGTAGTGGAACAGGCTCATGAGATACAGGCGCTAGCAAAGGAACTAGAATATTTTTCATGTTTGTTGCCCAACAAGTTTGTGGTTGGCGGTATAATCGCTAAGCTGCCACCTTCTTGAAGGGATTTTGCTACTTCTCTAAAACACAAGAGATAAGAGTTTAGCGTGGCTGAGCTTATTAGATCTCTTGATGTTGAGGAGAGGGCGAGAGCAAAAGACAATCGTGGAAAAGGAGTTGAGTCTTCCGCTGCCAATACGGTGCAGAAGAAAAACTCATTTGCATCACATAATAAAAAGAAGAAGAACATGCAAACGAATAACAATACAAAGCCTAAGCAAACTGCTCAGTTTAAGAAGAAAAACAACAAGAAAGGTAGATGTTGCTTTATTTGTGGGAGTGATGAGCATTGGGCAAGTGCGTGCCTAGACCGCAAATATAAGGAAGAAAAGAAATCAGCAAACGTGGTGATTAGCGAGACTGGAGGAGGAACATCTGGGTATGGTAATTCTTTATCTTTTGTTCTTTCAATTTGTCTTTCACCCGAGTGGTGGATAGATAGCGGTGCTAATATTCATGTGTGTGCTGATGTTTCTTTGTTTACTTCCTATTAAGCCGGCGGGACTGGAGCCTTCCTGATGGAAAATGGTTCGCATGCGCGTGTTCTTGGTGTTGGTACGGTCGTTCTGAAGTTTACTTCGGGAAAGATGGTACTATTAAAGAACGTGCAGCATGTCCCCTCCATCAAGAAGAATCTTGTTAGCGGTTCTCAAATGTGTCGCGATGGCTTT